TAGCAGGTTAAAGTTTTCACTTATACAATGAAATATTTTTACATCTACGAGATAAATTGGCACAAAATCTAAGACAGACACTCATGATTCCCAGACGATTGATCCACTTTACTTTGGTGGTCCCCTGACTTTTCTGCACCATCGTGATACACATTTATGATTTTGAGTGAAATGTCCCAACATCCTATTGGATAGATTGCCAATTAAATATATATTATATCTATAATCTATATCTAATATACGCCCTTTTAACACTATTTTATTACTCAACAGACCTAGTATACTTGGGTTATGGTTTTTAAATTTAACCAATTAAAAGTTTAAAGTTTTAATGTGCACCTATGAAGCATCACTCACCTTATGGTTTATGAGCGCAACATTATCTCTCCGACCTCTCGGCTGTTCTTCCTTTTTTTCTCATTTTGTTGTGACTATGGACCAGGAAAACACATCACTAAACGGACCGCTCTGGAGGGAGCCAGGGCATTTATCTAGGTGGAACCAAGACCCCGCTTGCAATGGCATGAGAAATTCTGCAGACCCATTCTAGTGCAAATTTATTGAGCATTGGATAAATTAATATACTAAAAACCCCGAAAATGTGCTTACCCACTTCAGGTGCTTGTTATGAATAAAATGAGTGTCTTCTGATGATGGTGTGTGGCTCGTATCGGAGCGCGGACGCTGAGAGGAGAGCGGACATGCGAACCAGAGCTGACTGCAAAGTTTGACCACAGTCGCGGAAGCATGCAACACATTTCCACTCTCCAAACGTAAACTGATCGGAGAAGAGTGAGGACAGAATATTCTATGGATTTATCAACACGAACAATCAAATTAAACTTGCTTATTTTTGCTAACTAATAGACAATCACGTTGCAATTTTCCGTCACTCAAACTAACATATTACCAAAACACATCACACTATTTTTCTACAAACATATCTCATAGAATAACAAATTGCGCATTAGCACATCTGTGCTACCAGGGATTTTATGGTGCTCATTGTTGTCTAGTGACATCTCACTGCTTTCACATAGCATTCTAACAATGGCATAATAACATTCCACCAAAGATTATTAAACAGGCACATTTAGAGATCGCAGACCTCAGTGCAAACTAGCCTATTCTTCCGAGAACACTATAGTATTTAGAGAGAACTGGGTCGGTCATGTTAGATCATCACACCGACACACTGTCGCCTATACTTCCACATGCAACAAATATCATAATCTATAAATCGAGAACTTACTGATACACCATATGCACATTGGTATTGGCAATTACAACATGAACATTTATTACACACTAACAAGATACATCACACTCAATCTAGTACCCACTCACTAGAAGTGAAAACCATATTAAGCCCACACTACATCAATATGCCACATACCTGGGGCACAATTAAGCGTCTTTACTTTAATGTTGATACTATTAACCACAATGATACCTGGGACCGAGCACCTATATCCTGTATTCAAGTTAATATGACATAAAACACCATAATTACCTAATCCTGTCTGACCTTAACTCTAAAAACCCATGGTCCTAACCCTACTCACCACTTACGCATACAACCAGGTCGTCGATTCCCATGAGTTAGTTTCCTGTTCGATAATGGACTCTCTCCTCGCATACGCTGTCGTGTACATTGTGTTCCTGAACAGGGTCGAGAATGTTGGCACGTTAATGTAAAAGCGCTTTGAGTGGTCGGAAGCACCTTAGACAAGGCGCTTATTTTATCAGACACGAGACTAGTACCTACCAGGTCCAATTCTACCCATTTCAAACAATTCCTAGCTACATTAGAGAAACACGCAATGCAGTAATCGCGTGCATCTTCTAATTAAACCTTACAATGCTCTGCTCAGTTACTTGTTGTTCTCACTTATGATCACTGATTTGGGAGACGACCAGTTCCAGGGGACACAGCACCGCAATTTTAACGTATGGGTACTCACTCACTTGGAGTGAAAAATCTCTTCCACAATAGCAAGAGTGGCCACTAAAGGACACTGATT